AAAGCCACATCAAACCTTCAAATCTGTGTGCTTTCTTTTGCATTGTGAAATTGTTACCTTGAACACTTAGAATCAATTTGATTTGGTGCTGCCTTTAGCCACTCAAAAGTGCCTACGTGCACTCAGGCATGTGATGTGGTTCCTGACCACAAGGAGCTATGGGGAAAGATGACGTAAAATAGAATGTGAATGGGAAAACAGGTAGCAGGGGCTGGAGGTACATGGAGGGCCAGGAAGGGAGGAGACGGTGCTGGCTGCCATATGACAAGCACCTCTTCTGTCCAGGCCCGAGTTGAGTGTTCAGCCTGTGGAGCCACACAGAACCCAGGCTGAGAAGGGTCATGCACTGATGTAATGCTCTGCTGCCTCTGTTTTGAAATTCTTAGTAGTTATGAACATGGCACTCTGTGTTTTCATTTTTGCACCAAAACTGTTTCCTTTTTTTTCTGGACACACAGCCCGACCAGCCTCCTCTGCATTCAGGCATGGCCATGTGGCTGAGTCTAATGGATGGAGGGTGAAAGCCATCTGCAGCCTAGCCCAGGAGTGTCTCTGTGAGAGAGTCTTTAAAACACACACATGATGTAACAACATGAAAACACACACACACACACACACACACACACACACACACACACACACGAGCTTGGTTCAGGTGGTGCAAAGAATTCTCGATTTCAGCAGAGCAGTACGTTGTGTGCTTTTACTGCTGTCATCCAACAACAGTGCAACTGTTCCTGGGTCATTAAGCTGTCCTTCTAGGAGATACTGCCAAGGACAGCAGGCCAGGCTCTTTCCCCCTTTGGCTAATTAAGGTCTGACCCTCAGGGCAACTGTGGAAGCTACGTTTTGAAGATGGTGTAGTCTGGGCTTGAGTCTCTGAGTAACTACCCGGAGCAGAGTTCCCTGTGCCCTCTCCTCCCTTGTCCCAGCCACTTGGAACTGGCCTGGACTCTCACGGGAGCAAAACAGGCATCTCTGGGTTGAGTGACAGCAGCTTCAGATAGTGGCTCCTGCAGCCTGGGCTGTGTGAATGCCTCATTTTAAGAGGAAGGAGCTTTCTCAGAAGTTTCCCAGCAGACTTCCTCTCTCAGCTTGTTAGCCAGAATTATGTCTCATGTTTTTTCCTAAACCTGTCTCATCAAGGAGAAGGGAATTGCTACGATCAGCTTGGACAAATGCAGACTTACTCCCTGGGGCCAGGGAGGGCCCTGGTCACCCCAAGCCCAGGGCTGTCCACACCTGAACAAAACTGAGCTTTGAGTCATGGGGTCTGGCAGGGACTTGTCATTGGCTCAGCAGCCAAACAGTGTCTGGGGAGGAAGAAACACTTTAAAAAATATGTAAAATTTGTTTTTAAGCTTCTGAGGACAGACAATGACCATACTAATGTTTTGAGGAACAAGTTATTGCCTGTAATTTCTTGTACATTGGGGGAGTGGAAAAATTATACGTGTTGCATGGGTGGAGAGAAACTTTCCCTGTAACTGTGAGGTTTATATAGAAATAAAAATGTCACCTGTAGATCTTTAATCATTAACTACTAGTTCAAACTCTTAATTGTCCCACCTCTCAAATGGACACAATGACATTCAACGGGGAAGAACACACAGAACTCCCTGGGAATTGTGATTAAAATGTGCTGTCAGGCCAAGAGTGATGTGGGAAGTAGTTGATGTTGACGTTGGGTTTCTTTGGAGTAGTCTGCATTTTTGTACAAACTATATTCCTGCTTTATGTTTGGTTTGTATATCAGTAGGGAATGTCAAAGGCTGCAAGTAACAGCATATCTGATTACTTGACCATATGGCTTTTAAGTAACAAGGGGTTTATTTTTCCTCATGTAACAGGAAGACTGGAGGTCAGTGGTTGCTGGCGCTGGCTCATAAACGCAGTGATATTAGAACTAACCTTCTGCAGTTTTCTTAGAATTCCTCTCATGTTTGCAATATGGTTGTTGGAGCCGCAGTGGTCATGTCTGAGGCAGAAAGAAAACGGTTGGTGCAGGAGAGACAATTTGAGCCTCAGACTCTGTCTTGTCTTACCAAGAATTCAAAGTTTTCTAGATACTGGCTCCAAAGCAGTCTCTGGCTTTGGTGTCATGGCAGAACTGGGTGACAGCCCACCCCTAGCTACAGGGCAGGCTGGGCAGTGAGGAGTGAAATTGTCAAGACTGGCTTAGACAGGGGATCACGACTCATCCCCTGGGGCTGCTGGACCCATGGCTTTTCTGAACCTAAATGGGTTTCTTCCAGTAAGAGACAAGAGAGAAATGGACATTGAACAGGCAACAAGAGTGTGGATCAGGAGCAGCCAAGAGGCTGAGGGGAGAGGAATGGTTTATATAAACAAGGCAGGTGGGATTCTGAACCTCTCCTGGAAGTTTAAGGAGACAGGTTTGGGGTCTGGAATACTTTTTCATAAAAATGAAGCCCCGAGCAAAGTGAAAACCACAGCAGAGCTCCCATCTGAGCTGATGCTGGTGTCCAGAGCTGAATCCCACGGTCTTTTGCTGCCAGTCCATGTTCTACTGCTGAGCCAGCCCCTCTAACGTGATAGGATTGTTATTGAGTCTCTCCAGAACAGGCTGGGGAGCGTGGTAGATCATCTCTCTGGTCAACTAGACCACTGATAAGAGGGCTCGACTTCCCTATCAGCTTGTGAGGCCCAGGTGTGGCATTTCCCTTGCTTTCCTGTGGCCTCCCTTCATGCTTCCTTTGCTTTCCTCACCTGCCTGCACCATGGGGACAGCTCTGTTCCCTTCTCATCCAGACATGTGCCTCTAGCACAGTGCAATCTGATAGAAATACAATGTGAGCCACGTGGGTCGCTTTAAACTATCTAGCAGCCACGTTTTAAAAAGCAAAAGAAATGCGTGGAAATTAAAAAATGTATTTTCGTTAATCCATACATTAAAGATATAATCTTAACATAGAATCAATAGAAAAAATATTAAGATATTGTACAGTTTTTCATAATAAGACTTTGAAGCCTGGCGTGTATTTTACACTTTACATATTTCAAATTAGATTAGTCATATTTGGAGCAATCAGCAGACACACGTGGCTAGTGGTACCATAGTGAAAAGTACACGTGTAGAAAACAGATACCATGATACTCATCTCTCCATCTCCAGGACCTGCTGAACAGTGGGCCCTTCGTGAGTACTTACTGAATGAATAAATATGAACACACTGCTGGAAATGGTCCTTTCTTAAACATAGGTATTGGCGGGGGGTGGAGGTGGGGTAGAAGAGAAAACCCTGGAACACCGTGCCTGGTAATGCAGAGCATGGACTTACATTCGCACAGCGTGGGCCTGGCCACATCAGCAGCTGACCCAGAAATGATGCAATTTCTTAGCTTTGCCTTTGTTTCCTCATCTGTAAAAAGAGACAGCAACACCTATCCTGCAGGATCCTGGGAAGATTGAGTGAGTAGGCATGCGCAAAGTGCTGAGTACCCTGCATGCCATAGGCACTGAAGCAGCAGTCGCCACAGTTCCTTTAAACCAGAGGTTCTGTCAGTCATGTGGACAGCTGCTACTTGCAGCAGCAGGACACTTTGGCCAGGCCTGTCCTTGCTGCTCCTGAAGTTGGCTGCGTCCCAGTGGTAGGACTCTTGAGGTACAGATTTTCTCTGTTTTGGAGCACTCTTGACAAGGGGTCACAAAGCAATTCGTGGTGTTTGTCTTTTTGGCTGGAGCTGTGGAAAGTCATGTGCCAACTGTGGGGCTTAGGGTTTAGTCAGCAAGGGCACATGCAAAAGTAGGGGGGTCCTACTCTGGGAGTCCATGGTACCCCCCAGGCCCGAGGGCTCATCTTCCCATGGGAGCCTGGGCTGACTTAGGGCAGCCAGGCCCCTTCAGAGCAGGGTGAAGACCTGGACCCTGCTGCCTGCTATCTGTGCCCCCTTGCCCATCCTCATGTGCTCTGCCCCTCTACCCTGTCCTCTGGGTGCCCCCTTTTCCCCCTAAATTGACTGACTTGAAGTATGCTTGTTTGAAGCAATAGAAACCACGAGTTTCCTGATCATACCTAGCTTTGAAAACGGAAAATGGGCAAAACAAGCCAGGCACATAGTGGCATTGAGAAAGGCAAAGGCTAACTTCATTAAAAAGCTTCTTTGTGGTATCAGGCAGGAAGTGAAACAGCTTTAAATGGCAAACATTTCTCAATCATTTAATGCACCAGTAATCTTGGCATTCTTTCTCCTTTGTCCCCTTAAAGAAAAAGAGAGCCCAGATATAACTCAGATGAGGTGGGGGAAGGCCCGAGCCTGGAGTGCTGGTCCTCACCCCATGAAGCTTCACGGGAGGACTAATGTCAGACGTGGGTGCAGAGGACTGTGCAGGTTCTGTTGTGTGGCTGAGCCTGGGCCGCCCTGATGGATCTCTGACTTCTGTCAAATCTGTTACCGTCAGAAGCCTGGTAAATGGCAAACTTTCCATGTTAACCTGTAGGTCCATTTGCTGGGGATGGTGAAACCCCAGTCCCCACAGGTAGCACTGACTTCTCTTGCCAAATGCCATTGTCCTGGTTTCCACTGCACGCTAGGCTTTTTACAAAAAAACTAAAAACACAAACAAGCTTGACTGGCTGGATCCTTTCTTGTAGAAAAGAATTGCACATACACATCGAGTACTAAACCACTCAAAATGCAAAGGAAAACCAGGAGACGGACGCCACGGATATGCTCTTGCTTAGCTGCACTTTTTAGGATTCACTTATAGACGTCAAATAGCATATGGCATATGGAGATGTTCGGTAAATACTCCTTAATTGATGAAAAGGCAGACATACATGTGAAGATTTTGGGGGAAATAGCAGCCAGTTTAAGTTGGTAACATAAATGGTGCCAGATGAAATCATGTTGACCGAGCCCAAAGTCCAGCCAATATGAAATTGCTCTCAAATGTAACGACTTTAGCATCTTTTGTTAACAATTTTCAGAGTGGGTTCCCACATCTCGTTAACCTTTGTACTGTTCTGCGGCCGTAGGGGCCAGGCATTCTCATCGGGCCCTAAGGAAGTGAGAGGCATGCCTTAAGGTGTGGCTAGAACTCATAGTTCTGGACATCCATTATCATCCTGTCTAATTCTATCACTGCCCTGCTGCATCTGGGAAAATCCCCTGTTCCTGAGCCTCCATTGGATGAATCGGCTCCCATATCAGCTCATTCCTGCTGCTGGCACGGGGCTAGTCCAAGGTGTTGCAACTGTTTATTTAGTGTCTGTCTTTCCCATACAAGCTCCTCCAGGGCACAGATCCAGAATTATAGACTCCACATCCCAGTAACTCCCACAGTGTCTGGTAGGGAATAGTTTAATAAATGCTGGTTAAATGAAAGAGCTGGTACATTCTTTGGTGTTCAAAGTTATTAATTCCGTTTGTTGTTGTTTTTTTTTGTGGTATATTTTGAGTCTTGCTTCTCATAGTTCTCTTTTCTTGCTAAGATATATAATGAAGGCAGACTTCTCACCTTGCAAAAGGTTAGTTCCATTTCTAAAGCTATCTCGTGGGCTCTTTTGAAAGTCTGGAAATGTCTCCTGTATCTCTGGGGAGAATCCTAGGTGAAGGGTTGGCAAATGTGGCTGCAAACCAAAAGAACTTGCCCTTGGAGTTAAGTGGAAAGGGCGTTGTGTCCCTTCTCTTTTAATTCCAGTCCCTGTCATTGTCATTTGTCTGGCAGGAAGCTCTGTAGTCTGGGAAAGCTGGAGTTTCTCCTCTCTGAGCTCCTTGTAGCCAGATCCAGTTTGTGATTTTCCCTCATTGGTTTTTCCTGCTTAAATGTACTTGAAACAACCTTTTTGAATATGGAGAAAAGCGTGGTCCCAACAGCTAGCAGGTGACAGCCGTTATAGTGACTTGTGCTGCGCCGATTTTAGGGAAGTATTTTTTTTAAGAGCCCTGACAAGAAGTGGCTGCTTTCTCAGGTGGTGCTATTGCAGAAATGCTACAAACAATGGCTACTTGTGGAGCCTAACATCGCTTCTTTGGCTCACATTTCTACAGAAATTGCTCACAGGCTGATAGCCCGGTTGATGCTCTTCCTTGTTTCAATTCATCTGATTAATGCACATCAGATGTACGGTCCCATCTGATGAAGCCCCAACCGTTAAGGGGAAGTATTTGTCATCTCAGCACCTGGTTTCAGGAACAAAGTACTCACCTCCTGGCTGCGTAAGCTATTTCAAAATAGCCTTTGTTCAGGGATCCCAGAGGGCTCAGTGCAGTCCCGACTGGCCTGCAAGCTGGTTGAGCGGCAGGGGCGGGGAATTCAGGTGAGCAGGACTTCCATGGTTGCCAAGGCGACCATTAATCATTTGAGGAAGCCTGCTGGGAGGGAGTGGGGTGAGAAACCACGAGCAAAATCATCCACCTTTTAATGATTTGTTAGCACCTAAATGCAGCCTTCAGGCTCCCACTTTTGGAAGTGGTTATTTGGAGCACTTGATTCTGGAAATAGAAGGGAAGATAAACATTGTAACTTCCTTTGGCAAATGCATCTAATTTGTGCATCAGAGACTGCTCACAATTCTTTAAGGGCCCTCAGAGCCTGAGGCCAATTAGGGCAGGGGGCGGTGCACTTTCCCATGGTTGGGGGTTCCTGACTGCCATGAGGAATCCCATTTTTGGGGTTTCTGTTTAGAAGCCTAGCTGTCCGTACCATTTCAGGCTCTCACCAAAGTGTGCTCTTTTCTGTGGAAGACCTACTATGGGCCAAAAGCTTTTCCCACGTCCTCTCATTTGACTTTTTTTTTTTTTTGAGACCCCAGCATCTTGCTCTGTCACCCAGGCTAGAGTGCAGTGGTACAATCTTGGCTGACTGCAACCTCCACCTCCCAGGTTTAAGCAATTCTCTTGCCTCAGTCTCCCAAGTAGTGGGATTACAGGCATGTGCCACCACGACCAGCTAATTTCTGTATTTTCAGTAAAGACTGGGTTTTACCATGTTGGCCAGGCTGGTCTAGAACTCCTGATCTCAAGTGATCTTCCCTCCCTGGCCTCCCAAGGTGCTAGGATTACAGGTGTGAGCCACTGTGCCCAGCCCTCTCCTTTAATTCTTACGAAAGCTTTATAAGGTGGATGCTGTCAACCTTATTTTACAGATGAGGAAACAAAGGGCCAAAGAATGGAAATAACCTCTTCAAGATCACAGAGATAATAACTGTAGATGGGGTGTCCACCCCAGTTGAGGGTGAAAATTATATCTGTTCCATCATGGCACCCTCTGGAGGGAGGCGATGAAGGAACTCGTTCTGTGCTACTCCTGATAGCAGTCGTTCAGGGCATTGCTTCATCGGCAGCTCCCGCGGCCGTCATGGGTGTCCTTGTCCACCCCATCTCTCAGCACTCTGTAGCTGTCATCAGTTTGATGCATCTCCCCTTCCCTCAGAGGACCAACCAGGATTGTCTCACCTGTAACATAGGTGAGGGGTTAGGGAGGAGTTGAGGGGTTAGGGAGCTCACATGTTGGCCACCCTAGGCACTGCCAAGAGCCAGCTCCATCCCTTTAATCCATTGACCCTGGAGTTTTGGAAGAGCTTCCAATCTGAAGCATAGGACTCTGACTTCGCAAAATGTCTTACAACTGAACACCATAAAAATAATTGCACTTTGGTTGCTTTTCTGGATAATCTACAGATTTATAAGTCTAGTAAATCAGACACAGCCATTGAACCAAATTTGATAATTTTGTAAGGCCTTGGGATGTGTCCGGATGCCCTGAGGAAGTGACCAAGGCCATCATTGTGCTGTTACTGACTTAAGCTTGAGTTTCTGGGCATGGGCATCTTTTTCCCATGGGGAAGACTTCATGGCCAGGGTGGGGCCAGCCAGGACCTGGGTGCCCCTCTGCCTGGCTGCTTGTGTCCTTAGGCTCTTTCCAAGGCTTCAGTTCTGCCCATGTCTCTAAAGAAGAACCATCTTAGGAGAGAGAAAGGGAATGCTAGAGGCCTCCTGGTCATCATCTTATTATAATACCTGTAACACCTATGACCTTAGGGTGTCTGTCTTCTTCTAGAGTTACGAACAACACCAGGAAGGGGTGTGGCGGTGGTGGGGGTCCAGACAGACTTGCTTTAACCAGGCTTGGGAGGGAAGTCACGTACCTCTCAGCCTCATACTCCACATCTGCAAAATGGGAATAGGAAGGTCTGTGTTGCCAGGGTAAGGAACAAGGCATGTTTGGCACTTGTCACCAAGCAGGTATTCCGTAAAGGGTTACTATTATTCTTATCTAATAATAATCTTATGACATAAATCTAACTTTATAGTGTTCATGGGAATTGGAAGGACTCAGCTCTGATGTTCCCTTGCTCCTTACTTTATTCAGGAAGAATCTCCCTTTTCCTCCCTTCTGCAGGTCTTGTCTTGCCTGACCATAGAATCTAATACGAACCTTGTAATTGTCATCTGAATATAGATGGCATCTTATCTGCTTAATAGATTGAGGCTTACAGACATTAACGGCTCAAGATCATAGGCCAGTTAGTGGGAAAGCTAGAGTTCAAACACTGACCCATATTCCTTATCTCAGCACAATGGGAACAATAGCATTAAGTGCCAAGTTTCAGAAACTCACATGAAGACGCTTCTTTTGCTTTCGCTTCGAGGTGGGAATGAGAGGGTCTGAGCTGTTCCAGATTGGACTTAGGGGACTGGACAGGCCTTCTGGTCTCTAGCATACAGCATATTTTATGGGGAACTTACCAACTTTCCAGTTTCCCAACCAGAGGAGTGTTTAGAAACAGCCCCCAGTGATATGGGTATAGAAACTCCTGATAGAGTGGAGCCATGGGGAGGAAGAGCTCAGAGGTGCCGGGCCAGCAGGAAGTGGGAACTGTTTCTAGCACAGAGGATGTGGCTCAAGACAAGGTATAAGAAATGAAAGTCAAAAAAGAGGTAGAAGTGGGATACTGAGGTGCCTTGAGCACAAGGAAGTGGCTTTATTGGCCAAGGTGGAAGGACAAAACAGCATCGCAGCAAAGATTCTGGGTGGGTATGGAAGCCATTTTCCTCTTGTAGCGGCTGCATGAGGGAGGTCTTGGAACGTGGGGATTAGACATCTGGTGTATGGAGATTCTCAGTCAACTCTCACGGGGACTGGATAAAAACCACCTTGAGGAGAAATTGAACTTGTGAAGGCAAACAAATGTTGATTTCAGTGAGGTTTAGTTGGCTGACTTGTGCTTGCATTTTAGTCCCATAGCTCTGCGGGACGTGCTGGTGAGCAGAGAGCTACCCTGGGGAGGCAGCTCTGGTTTTCTTTAGTGTTGAGGGGTCTACCAGCCATTGAGCACAAATGGTGTGCTGGGGTTTACAGAGAGCAAATAATTTCATCCTCACAGTAACTCGTAAACTGGGCAAATGCTATCACCCACATTTTACAGAACGAGGCAGCTCAGAATCACAGTATTCAATTAACTTGTACAAAAGTGGAGTTCAGCTGGCAAATTGATGTGAGCCCAGTTCTCTCTGATCCAGAATCGAGATTCTTCATGCTAGGCGGCTTGTCCATATACAGGTCTTGCTGGGAAATTTTTCTCCCCTACTTATGAATAAGAAACATGATAATCAGGGGCCACTTTGCGGGGCAAGGGCCCCTTTGAAAATCAGATGAAAGCTGCTATGGAAGAGTGCATATACCCTACAACTTTAGGGGGCTGAGGACCCTCTGAGGTGCATCCAAAAGTCTCTTAATGTCTATGGAGCCCAGCTCAGGAACCCCTGAAATAAGTAAGGAAAAAGGGAACCAGATAATGTCAGAAAAGAAAGAATTTTTAATGGAAACAGATTTAAAAATTGAATTGTCAGTACAGCCTACACACACTGAATTTGTTGCCTTGAACATAACAAGCTTACATAAACAGCTTCCATTACCTTATATGATACATGTTCTTCTTGTTTGTAATGTGCATGTCAAAATGGACAACTCCTTTGAACATTCTACAGGTAGATGTCTTTTTCCTACCACAAAAGCCAAAACATCAAATAGCTTAAAACAATATACTGGGAAGCTGACATGCTAAAATAGCATCACTTCCTTTTCCTCTCCTGCTTAGGCATTTTTCCCTTAGGGGAGTCCGCTTGCAGGCCTATAGGGGTGACTTCGTGATATCACCCACACTTACTTTACACTACTATTGTCGTCTTAAAGGAATTTGCATCTCATCAGAATACAGTCCTTTGTATGTGTTTTCACTAAATTATTTATTTTATACTCCCTTCCAATAATCCTTAAAAATGCTCATGAACTGGCCAGGTGCAGTGGCTCACGCCTGTAATCCCAGCACTTTGGGAGGCCGAGGCGGGCAGATCACGAGATCAAGAGATCGAGACTATCCTGGCCAACGTGGTGAAATCCCGTCTCTACTAAAAATACAAAAATTAGCTGGGTGTAGTGGTGCATGCCTGTAGTCCCAGCTGCCTGGGAGGCTGAGGCAGGAGAGTCGCTTGAACCCGGGAGGCGGAGGTTGCAGTGAGCCAAGATGGCACCACTGCACTCCAACCTGGCAACAGAGCGAGACGCAGTCTCAAAAACAAACAAACAAAATTCCCGTGGACTGAGAATCACTAATCAACAGAAAAGGGAGGGAGCTCAGAGATCATCCAACTTGACCTCCTTTACTTTACAGACAGAGAAACTGAGGAGCTAGAAACTGAGTGCAGGCACTCAAGAAGTACCTACGAAATGTGAGGCCAGATGGAATTTTCCTTCTGCTCCAAAGTCCTGGCAGGGTGGGTATCTTCAGTGGGATGGGGAGCCACAGAGGCTTTGCTAGCAGTGAGGGGATGCTCACCATGAAGGAAAGGTGCCCTGCTCCAGGATGGAGGCAGGACCTACCTGTGCCTCTAAGGTTAAGCGTCACCAACACAATGTGGTGGGGAGCATCTCTAAGATGAAGTGGAGTCCGAGTGGGGAGGACAGAGGGACAGAAAGGTCCAGAGACTCAGAGGTTTGTGGGACAGGGAGAAGATGGTGCAGATCCTCCAGGAAGAGATTCAGGGAGGGTCTGTTCCCTGAGTCTCACAAAGACTCACAAGGACTGTTCCCTGAAGGAGTCCTTCTGTGGATTGAAAAGTGACTTGATGGGAAAAGGGAAAAAAATATATGGTCTAGCCTTAGGCCTCTGTAGACGTTTGGGACCATCTGGGGAAAGAGGGAGTTTAGC